CATTTTTTCAACACATTTTCCCTTATCGTAATTCATTTCTATGATAATGAATTTTCTCCTACAATACTAGTTATAATATAATACATATTCAATACACTAGTTATAAAATACAAAAAATTATGCATTAATCAATAAAAAAGTACATTATATAAAACTTATCTCTATAATGTTCATTTTTTTCATACAATATAATTCATTAATCACAAAAAAATACATGCTACACATATTATCCTTTTTAAAATTATGAAAAGAAAAAAAGTAAAAAAATAAAATTTACCTCTTTACTCCAAAGAAATAAAATATAATAGGTAGAATGTGGGGTTGGAATGTTGAAATGTAGGAATGAAATGCGGGGTTGGAACGTTGAAAATGTGAGGTTGGAATGTTGGGGGATTTGGAAGCAAAAACGTTGTTGTCCACTGTGTGGTTGTGTTTGTTGGGTTTTGAAGTGGGGACATGTAAGGTTAGGGTTTTTTTATGTGAATGAGGTCAAACACGGCCGTGTAAATATATACACGGCCGTGTGTGAAAAAAGTGAAGAACAACTGGTGTTCTGACTTTGAACACGGGTGTGTTTGTACAAATACGGCCGTGTTGTAACACGCCCACTGAAATGGGTGTGTTCTGCGGTTGAGGCAAACACGGGCTTGTGTTTGTTCAACACGGCAGTGGTTTATGTGACACGGCTGTGTTCGGCTATATATAATGTCAATCTTATAAATGTCATTGTATTTGTATTATAAGAGATTAATAGGGATATTTTGTTTTCTTTTATTTGTACTACATAGTATACAATCATTAATATTTAAAAACCAACATACAAAAAAAGTTAATAGTACAACAGAGGTAGTATTATTTTTATTTTTTAATTTAAAAATTTAATTATAAATATATTATTATTATTATTATTATTATTATTATTATTATTATTTTGCCCTATACACAATTTACACATTCAAAACTGCCGCAGCAGATTCTCCTCTTTATTCTTATTCTTCCCAATTCTTTCCTTTATTATCGATCGTCATGGCCCTCCTCCTTCTTTCCTCCTCGTCATAGGACGAATGGAGTATTAAACAATAAAAAATATATAGAAATATGTATAAATATCTACGTGTCTACCAAGTCAGCACTACGTGGATAATTTTTATTTTTTATATAAAATTAAAAATATATAATATATAAATTATTAAAGGTCAAGTGGCACTGACCACACGGATATTTGATAATTTTTAGTTTTTATTTTATTTATTTTTAATTTTTTATTTTTTATTTTTAATTTTAAATTTTATTTTTATATTTTATAATTTTTATTTTTATTTTTATTTTTTTTAATTTTTATATTTTAAAATAAACATAAAAATAAAAATTATCCACGTGACGCTAAGTTGGCCGACATGTCTCCGCCGATATGTCGTGCAGATGTCACATAGGCATCAATGATTAAATTTGCAAAAAAGATTCATTTATAAAACTATTTTAATATAGTGTCCAATTATGAAGCTAAAATGATAAAATTGGCCGAGAATAAAAAACAATATTAATTTTAGCTATTTTCATATCAAGCTTTATTATAAAAAATAATAATAATAAAATAATTATTATTTAAAATATAAAATCAAAGTAAATATCATTTTATATAATTACTAGTACATAACACAAATTATACGTTAGCATTATAATATATCATTATCCCTTTTTATATATATATATATAGTAGATCTATAGATAAGACCAAATCTAAAGATAAATATATTTGAATCTAAAATCTCGAATATCTAAAGTATCTCTAACATTCCTCCTCAAACTCAAGTGGTATAACATAAACCAACTTAAGTTTGATAAGAAAGTTGAATAGAGACACAAAGAAAAAAACAGTTGTTTGTCTGTCGTTGCCGCCGTCACTCTACCGTATCAAAGTCAGAAACAATGCTTTCAACTAAATTAGAGTAAAAAAATAACATAACTCACAATGGAGCCGAAAACGTATGACTCTCTGCCGGAGCCGGACTCTCTATTGGAGCCAAAAACCACATGACTCTCTACTGGAGCCGAAAACGACTGGAGTATTCTCCACAAAGTTGAAAATAACAAGACTCTTATTGCAATAAAAAAACATGGCTCTGGATAAACGCAGCAGATGGATCATAGAATCGCAAACAGATTTCAGATCGCACGCACACAACAAATAAACAACGAGATCATAAATCTATCTTTTTAGTAATATTTTAAATCTTCTAATAATATATACTCCCTCCGTCCCAGATACCGTGTCTGCTACATTGTAGACACGATATTTTAGGAGGGATGTAATTAGTAGATAATTAAGAATTTTAGGAGTGGTGTAATTAGTAGATAATTAAGAATGTATTAGTGAAAATAATTATTCTATAATATAAATAATTAAGATAACTAATTAGTTTAATTAAAATTAAAAAATAAAATAAAATTTAAAAATTTAAAATGAGATTAAAGTGTGTAATCATTTTCAAAAAAAGAAAGTGACATGGTATGGTACGCGGGACGGACACAAACGGCAACGTGGACATGGTATCTGGTCTGGGATGGAGGGAATAGTAAATTACATATTAGCATATTTTTTTAAGTAATTTTAACAATTAAAAATTTTTAATTTTATTATATTTCAACAATTAAAAAACAAAAAAGAAAACTATTTTTTTAAAGTTTATTCATACACAAAATCGAACTTCTACTTGGATTGCCCTAAAATGAGAAACTACAATCCTATTTTTTTGTATTAGTTTCTATATTTCGGGCATAAACTACCCAAGAAGTTTGGACGTAGACCGATAATACCCTACAAAATTCATGAGAGCAATACCGTTTTGTACATCGAATCTGCCTCTTTGCTGAACCGTGGAGATAGTCTAAACGATGCCATTGTCACTGGCTCCGGTCGAAACCGTCAAATAACCGTTCTCCATGAAATATATGAAACCATTCCGAACTTTACCGTTATCAATATTGTTCACCACCATCGATACCGCGTCGCAACCTCCGCCAACACCGCCTGCCGCCCGAGCTCCAAAGCTTCTCCGGCGAGCTGCGGCCGTAAACATTAATCTGGTCCACCTCAACATCTCCGATTTCCATCCACCTATATGACCGATGCTTTATACTTGTGTGTAGATCCACCGTAGCGCTCACTAGCAGCATCTCGCCGGACACCGCCGCCGGTGACAGCAGCGCCACCAAAAAATCATCTCTATAAACTCCTCTATGCAGGGAGAAGCCATCCGGAAGTTGTGGAATTTCCCTCTCACGTGCTCAGCCAGAATATTTTTTTGGCGGGGCCGAAATTTTTTCATGCAAATAATATATAATAATTTTGAAATTATATAATATAATAAATTTTTTTAAAAATAATTACAAAAAAATAGTTTATTTTATATGATTTTTTTCAAATATTTCTAAATATTTGAAGTATTTTAACCAATTTTTAAAATATTTAAGTTAAATATAAATAATACTAATATTTTTATTAAATTTATAGGGGCAGCTAATTATTTAAATTTTAAAAATTATGCAAATACTACATAATAAAAATACAAAATTTAATTAATTAGGAGGGCGAACACCCTTTAGCCCCTGCAAGCTCCTACGTGCTCCCCCTCAGTACACCATGGTCACAATCTCCATCTCCACCTCGCCGCCGTTTATTAGGCTAACAGTGCGGCAGCCATGTCCGATAACTCCATTGGAAACAGTAGTTGAATATCGCAGATCATTACAGAAGACAATCAGCTTGCCTCTATGAAACAGGACGTCCATCGGGTTTTCATTGACGATCTCCGTATCCACGGCCGTCCAATGCGGATCGTCTGGCGTGCAGATGATCAACCTCCGTTGGGCACCTGGGTACTGAATACCGAAAATCATCGCCGCCGTGAGTTCGCCGGAATTCGTGGAGAAGACATGAACTCTCGTAACGTAACAAGATAAGAAGTTTAGCCCTAACCGTAAGCCGGCATTGACAGCGGTCTGGAGAAATTCCAATGACGACAGCGGAGGAAGATTCCTAATCATGGTTCGCCGGATCGGCCGAGTCCGGTCCGACTCGGCCGATCCGGAACAGGACCGTTCCGGTTCGTCAAAAATATCCGATATTTGCCCAAAATTTTCCCATCCATTCATATCTTATCTATAAAACCCATTATAAATCTTATTCTTACCGATTTTCTACTTTTTATTCGTATTATTCGAACAATTCATCTCAATTCGATCAGATCGGAGAAGAAAACATTTACCAGTGCGCTGAAGAAGAATCGTGGAGGAAAGACCTCTGTTCTGCGTTCGCGTCTGAAGAAGAATTGTGGGGGAGGGGAAGAAGAAGTGGGAGGATTCTGCGTTCGCGTCGGTGAAGAAAATCGTGGGGGAGGGGAAGTTGTTCGCGTCTGAACGAAATCGTGGGGGAGGGGGAAAATTCTGCGTTCTGCGTTCTGGGTTCTGCGTCCTGGGGGAGGGGAAGAGTTCTGGGTTCTGCGTTCTGGGGGAGGGGAAGAAAGGAGGAAGGTAAATTTAATTATTATATTATTTTAATTAATTTAAATATTTATAAATTTGAATTATTTTTTATTAATTTGTTTATTTAATTTATAGGTTTAATTATTTTAGATTTAATTATTTAGAATAATTTGTTTAATTTATTGATAAATTTAGTTTAATTGTGTTGGATTGTATTTAATTTTTATTTAATCTATATAAATTGAGTTCATTAAAATTAATATTTTAGAATAACTTATAATCTTATTATTTAAAATTAATATTATTTTAGACAAAATTTGTATTAATTGTAAATTTATTGTAAAAAATTAATATTTTAACTATATTTTTTATATAAACAAATTAGTTATCTACTTAAATTTTTGTATAAGTTTGATTTATTAATAAACTAATATATAATTTGTCTATTTAATTAATGAATTACTATTTATAAATATTTTAACAATTGTATTATTCAATTACAGAGTTTGTGTAAAATGGCACCGCGAGATATTGGTTGGGATCATGCTACTCCTATCAGCAATGATAGAAAACAAGCAAAATGCAATTATTGTGGTAAAATTGTTCACGGCGGAATTACTAGGATGAAACAACATATAGCACATGTTACAGGTCAAGTTGAAGCATGCACGAGAGCTCCAAAAGAAATAAGAGAGTTATTAAAAAAACACTTGATCCAAGGAAAAAGTATGCGAGCAGCACATAAAAAAAAGTTAGAAGCATTGCAAAATTCTATTCGTTTGGAAGATGATTCTGATGAGGAAGAAGATGAAGTTTTTGAAATAAATGAAGATGAGATAGATGCTCTTGAAAGAAAACACTTAAAAAGAGCAATGGCTGAAAGCAGAAATATGGAATTTATGGAGCAGCAGCGTAGACATTCTGTTTCCGGAGATCTACCAAGCTTGAATTTTAAAGCCGGTATATTTATTAAATTTATAAAATATATTTAAATATTAGTATATTTTTTTTGAGATAACAACCATATATGATCATATGCTTTTTTTTTTTTTTATCTTTGTAGGAGGAAGCAGCTCGAATACAAAAGGAAGTAAAAGAAATTTTTTCGAAAGCTCTATGAAAAAGACAGAATGTTTGCATCAAAAAAAACTTGATCCATACATGTTTCAATCGAAGAATAAGTCTTTGAAAAATATGTTTTCAAAAGATAATGCAAAAAAAGTGGGTAGAGCAATTTCAAAATTTTTTCATTTTAATGCAATACCATTTCACGCTGCCGATAGTGGTCCTTACTACCAAACGATGATTGACACGATTGCATCGGTTGGACCTGGAGTTAAAGGACCTACTGGTAAACAAATTGGTGGTGAATATTTAAACGAGGAGATGCAAGAAGTTGTACAGTATGTTGATTCTTTAAAGCAGAAATGGAAAACATACGGATGTACAATTATGTGTGATGGTTGGAGTACTCGTACAAAACATCCAATCATAAATTTTATGGTGTACTGTGATAGAGATATGATATATCACAGTTCGGTTGATTGTACAAATAAGGCGAAGACTGCGGACTTTGTCTACACCCTAATGGATAAGGTGGTGGAATCAGTAGGGGTTGACAATATTGTACAAATTGTAACTGATAGTGAAGCTAGTATGAAGGCGGCTGGGAAAAAACTGATGAGGAAAAGGAAGCACATTTTTTGGTCTCCATGCGCAGCGCATTGCATTGATTTGATGTTAGAAGACATCGGAGATATATTGTCAATGAAAGATACGATAAAAGAAGCCAGAAGAATTACAGGATTTATATACAACAGTGATAAAGTGGTTAATTTGATGAAAACATATACGAATGGCCGAGATCTGTTGCGACCAGGCATAACAAGATTTGCAACCGAGTTTGTTGCAATGGAAAGTCTTCTGAGATATGCAACCGATTTGAAAAGAATGTGTACTTCTAGAGAATGGGTTGAGTACAATAATACCTCGAGGAGAAGACATGAAGCCGGAGATATATCAGACTTGATTTTGAATGAAAGATTTTGGAAACGGATACGCCGAGTCTGTGGGGTCATGGAACCCTTAGTGAAGGTTTTAAAAGTAGTTGATCAAGATAAAAAACCTACACTACCTATCATTTATGAGGCAATGGATAGGGCAAAAATGGCAATAAAAACCGCGGTGAAAGATTTTCAACAATATTGGGATATCATCGATGAAAGATGGTATAATCAATTGCATCAAGATTTGCATGCAGCAGGTAACTATTCTTGTTATTTTTTTGTTTTTATATTGTGCTAATCGTTTGTTTTATTTTTTAATTTTATATACATTTCATGCAGCTTATTTTTTAAATCCTGGTCTTCAATACTCCGGCACTTGTGAATTTGATTCATCGGAGGTTCGAAAAGGAGTAAAAGAAGTTATCAAAAGACTCGAGCCAGATTTGGATATACAAGTAAAGGCTATGAATGAGGTAAATTATGTGAAATTTATAAATAATATATAAATATATATATTAATTTCTAATAATTTTACTATTATATTGTCTATAGATAAACATATTTGTTAACAAAATTGGAGAGTTTGGAAGTGCACTTGCTATTAGAGCTGTATCTACATCTTTACCAGGTATGTATTATGAAATTTATCATTTAATTATATTTTTAAATATACTTGTTATAAAATGTTGCATTATTAATAATTTTTTATTTATTTTTAATAGCTGACTGGTGGAATATGTACGGTGATGAAGCTCCTAATTTAAGAAAAATTGCATTAAAAGTTTTGAGTCAAACTTGCACATCATTGGGTTGTGAGCGGAATTGGAGTACGTGGGCTTTGATCCATACTAAACTTCGGAATAGATTAGCTATTGAGAAACTGCATAAGCTAGTCTATGTCTACTACAACATGCGTCTTCGGGTAAAAAATTTTATGCAAAGGACAGACACAGACGATTTTTATGACCCAATTGATTTGAATCATATTTTTGATGAAAATGATATTTTAGATGAATGGGTTAGAGAAAATGAATCTCCACTTATTCGTGATAGTGATTTGAATTGGTTGGATGAGGCTATTGAAGAAAGTGGAGATCGAGGTCAAAGTGAGCATAATGATCATGACAGTGATATGCTTTTATCTCAATTTATAGCTGATGAAAAAAAGAAGGCGAAAGAGAAAAAATCAGAAAACAAAAATACGGCCAAGAAAAAAAAAGCAATCATATTGGAATCTTCATCTTCATCGACTAATGGTGAAGATAAGAATAATAACAATGATGATGATGATGATGATGATGGTGGTGGTGGTGGTGGTGGTGGTAGTGGGAGCTACAGGGATAGCCGATACTCAAGTGATATGGGATGGGCTCAAGGAAATGAAAATTATTATGCTACCCAAAACACTGATCATGGATATCGTCCTGGTATAGAAGCTCAAAGAGATTTTCTAAATAGTTTAACAGAATTTTCAAGTGAAGCCGATGCTTCAAATTTTTCAGATACTAGGAGATATTCTGGAGTTCACGAATATATGCAAGACTTGAATATAGGTTATTCCTATGGAGATTCTTCTCATAGCTCGAGTAATAGATTGGGGAGACAGGAGTGGGACCAACCAAATGCATATCATAATCCCTATTACTCAGGATACGGTTTATCTAATCTACCCAGACATCTTCAGGATACAGCCAATCTTCCTATATTTGGATCCAACCAACCAGTTGGAACATATTACGGAGGGATTACATCTGGTTCGGGTAGTATTGATGATCGTAGACAAAATTATGGTTCATCAAGCAGAAGCAATGATAATAGAGAATATCGAGGTTTTGATGTATATGGAAGGGGTTCATTCAGAGAAAATCAATATGGTTCGAACATCTCTCCTTATCCAAGCAATATGAATCCAGAACAAGGATATTCGTAATATAATCGATCAGCAGATGAAAATGATTTTGAACCTCCACGACATTCCACATGGTATTGAATGGTAAGTATAAATATTTAGTATAAACGTAGTTTGAACATTTTATAAAATTTTATTTGTATTTTTTTTCTAATTATTTTTATTTATATAATGCAGATGATAAAGATGAAATCTTGACATTGACGGACACAAGGTACATCATTTTGTTATTAAAATAAATTTATTAGTATAATGACAATATGCAAAACATAAAATTTAGCATTTACATTTATATATATATATATATATCCGCTAATTTAGTTGAAATATTATTCATTTTAAATTTTGATCTATTATAAATTATAATATATTTTTTCAATAATATATATTTTTAAATTAATTATATTTATAATTTGATGTATTTTAATTAATTATTTATTATTTTTTTGAAAAAATATAAATTTTATATAAAAAAATCATATAGGCCGATATTTGACCGATACGCCGCGACCGATACGCCGCTACGTATCTGGAACGGTAAAGGCCGATCCGCGACGCCGATCCGCGACGGCGAACCATGTTCCTAATATCTCCGCACAGCGGATTCCATAGCAGAATCTTCCCAATTTCCGCGACGCTATTGCCGCCGCCGCCGATGAACAGCCATCCCCGGGAAGATCCGCAGCAGCATTGCCCATTCTTGGGATACTCGAAAGTGTATTCTTTCTTGCTTGGGCTTAAAAGTTTAATTTTCTTGGGATTGATTTCTTGATCGAAGCTGTTCGACAGGATCTTCCATGGCGGCTCCGACGGCGGTAATTGGCGCAGAGTAGCATACCATTCCCTTGAAACAGTTCTCACGCGAATTCGATCGACTGTCCATAATTTCTGTAGTATCATCTCGGCGATGTGGTTGGGAATTCCGTCGATGAGAAGAATATCGGAGGAGTAACTTGATGCCATTGTCAATCATTTCTAATTGAATTTCTAGATTTAAATAAACATATATATATATATATATGAATTTCTAGATTTAAATAAACAATATATATAAATATATAGAGGGGAGGTTAGTAAAATTCTAGTGGGATTAAGTTTAATTGTTTTGTATTAAAAAAAATAAAATAAAAATAGAATAAAATAAAATATATAATTAGAGATAAAATAAAACTATTATTAAAATATTAATTTGATCTTTTATTTAATAGTATATTTATATTTGAAAAAAAAATAATGTATTTACAATTCTCTCTTTATTTTTCACAAACATTATATCAGACCATTATATTGTTCACAGAGATTGACACTATTTTTCCATCCAACATACATTCATTTATTGGGATATCATCTTATAAATAAATGGCAAAACTGCAAAAAAAAACCCGTGGTTTACCAAATCTGCTGAAACTCTCCGTAGTCCTAAAACTCCGTTAAATTTTAGCTATCAGACCGTTATATTTCTCTCTCCTTTGTTCTTTCTTCCTCTCTTCTGCACAACTTCTTTCTTCCATCATTTTTTCTTCTCAATTTATCTTCTCTCCGCTTCTTTTTTTTTTCTCAATTTTTCTCTTCTTCTTCTCCAGCCAGTTTCACCCGCTTCTTTCTTTTCTTTTTTTTCCTCCAATTTTTTTTTCTTCTTCTTCATCTCCAATTGTTCTTTGAAGAATGAAGAGCAAAAGAATAAGAGAGAAAGAAGTTGATAGGCAGAAACTGCTGGAGCAAGGAAGAAGAAGGAATAAACAATTTTATTTTTCTTTCTCTATCTCTTTTTCTCCAATTTTTCTTCTGCAAGTTGTTTTTTCTTTTTACATTGATTTCAAATCTTAATGTCAAATTGAATTTTTAAATTTCAAGTATTTCTGGGTTTGGTAAAACAGAAGAAGAAATCGACAGTGAATAATAACTTATGCATTCTCATCTTCATGTCCATGTCCGATCAATTAATTGTGATAAATTTGGTAAAATTTATGTTGCTAAAGTTTAGCAGATTTAAAATAAAAAAAAAATAATGAGAAAGAAGAATAAATAAGAAGAATAAAGAAGAAGAAGAAATATATTATGGACCAAAAATCGCGTGATATACAATCCTAATAGAGGGGGAATTTGTTTGCAACATTTTACAAACCACAAGTAGGTTTTTTGGAGTTTTAGGACTACGGAAGTTTTCAGCCGATTTGGTAAACCACGGGGGTTTTTGCTGTTTTGCCTAAATAAATATATATCTTTATATATATAATTATGAAGATGTTGCACAATGCATTCAATCATGATCACTTTTTAGTGAGTGAGTGAAACCTTCACCTTCCATTTCACTATAACAAATTTACAATTCAGTTCACAATCCAACTACTAACTTATAAGTAAACTTAATTTTTATTCAAAGAAAACATACTTCCTTCACCAAAATGCACATTTCACAACAAACAAAACAACAATGGCAATGTGAGCCTTAATTAGTCACACAACAATTTATTGCACAAACACAACAACGTACCAAGGCCCGGGCCCGAGTCTTACGCCATTCGCTTTGCACGAACGCGAGCGACACCACCAGCCATCATGATATGCCGTTGCTTGTGGGAGAATTATTACTCCTTTGACTTGTCAGAGGTTGTTATTGCTTGGTTACTCCAAGAGTCATCCACAAGAGGTAGCTGATATTCATCGGGTTTGAGGGCCAAAGCAAAGTCCGGCAATGTTGGTGTTGCTTCTGTGTTACTGCACAAAACACACAATGAAGATATAAGCAAAACTAATACCACTGCTCGCAATTCATTTAAGTTAATGCCAAGTGAATTCTAACTTGGAGAAAGGGCTTACTTATCATGAGAGAGAAGATCCTGCTTCGATTGCACCTTGGAAGAAGTATCCTTCGGAATTTTTTCAGACAGATACTTCATTGTACCCCAAAGCGGAGGGCTCCTGCTCAAAACTTACGATATTAATGATCTCCCAGCACATTATACTAATCAAAAGAATGAAGAAGGAAAGGGTAGTGACTGTAAGGTTCAAAAAGTAATGAGTCACAGCTACAAAGGCAAATATACAGATTCCAGTTTAAATGATAGGTAGCCATTATACGAAAATCATGTAATTAAAATGTGGTGACAGTTTGGTGAGATTCTCTACTTAAAATGCCGATAATGTTTCATCAAAACAAGGATTACCTTGAGACAGGAATGGATGAATTGAAAGTTTCAGAAGCTTTCTTGCTTTCTTTAAGATATTCTTCTGCTGCTTTCAAAGAAGCAATGGCCATTCCATGAGACTTCTCTGTATTCCCCTCATCAAGAATTAGACCATGATAGTAGTATGCCGCAGCCTAGGAAAACATCAAAATCTTACGTTGGAGATTTTGGAATAGTACTGAATATTATGCATGCCAACTATAAGAAGTATTGTTATAATTAGGAGATTTCCTTCACGGATCTGTATACAGCTTAGCTACATCGATTTAAACTTGCAGGATATACTGAGGCAGATACAAGGAACTCTTACACTCTATTTACTTATGTTTTCAATTTTGTTTACATGCTATTCATCACCAATTTCCTTTTCGAAAAATATTACATGGAATATACATTTTTCATTTAAAATATTAAATCAAGAGCATATTTTCATTCAAAGCATCACATCCAACGCTTATTTATATTACATCAAACACCTACTTTCTATTCAACCTTTTACTATTTTCAAACCAACTCAAAACTCCTAACTTATCTCATTCGCAACCTTAGGTAAAAAAGGGTATGGAGTCCCTAACAAAAGGCCAGGCTCTGCTTGAACAAAGATTCTAGCAGCCATAATTTAAGGAAGAATCTAACATACACGCAATTTATTTACACCTGTTGAAGAGGGAAACTTGAAACAAAAAAAAAAAAAAGAAAGAGAGAAAAACAGACAGGAAGACTGCTGCATACCTTCGCCTCAACATATTTCCACTTAACAAATAGTCCATGCTTTTGTCCCCAACCATTTGCCAGAGGAAGGTTGGTAATGTTATCTTGTGCCTACAAAAAGACAAAGGCGGTAACCCATCTTCAGATCGATTTACTTTCAGTTAGAAAAAGATGATGCAACTACAAATAATCCATGGCAATCAACAGAAATGATGTGGCAAAGGATGATAACCAGGCAACCATACTGCATCTCTTATGGTTATGAATTACCTTACCTTAAATCAATCCAACTAGAGGTGACATCAAGTTCGTAAGAGATGCCACACCAGTAAATTAGTCAATAATCTAAGATAATTGATTTGTTTTTTGATAAGAAGTGGTCTGAACATCGACGCATCCCTTTGGTTAGACAGTGAGTACTTTTACATATTATTGTCCAATAGAACTTAATAAACCCCTATTCCCTCTTGCTTTCTTGTATTAGATTATCCATAAATTCAATTGCACAGGAATGCCTACTCTATAGCAGACCTCAACTTAGATATCTCCATGGTTCCAGTTCAACAAAAATAAGAAATAAATAATATTACAAAAAAAAAAGGAACCACAAACAAAATGTATATGTACAATTTTTATTCTCGTTCTGGTTGATACAGTTAGCTCTAATTCATATGCTACTATGCTAGTCTAATTGATTTTATTTTTTTTAAACTAGGATATCTACCATACTAATAAAATTTTACATGAAAATAATGCCATAGATAAAAACTCTAAAAATAAAAAATAAAATATACCATAATAGCTATTGATATAAAGCAAAAAATAATTTAAATTGTACTGAATTTATGATAACTATTTTGTAAAGAAAAAATTAGACACAATTATTGGAACTTTTTTTAAAAAAAATAAAATCATATTAGCTATTGAAATGCATTTTAAATATAAAAATTAAATTCATTGAGAGAGTAAAAATCATATGCACATCAATCAACATACAAAACATAATAATATTTATTGACAAATTACATAATATATAAGTATTATTTATTTCATAATCCCAGAACAGGATCAAACATCATGTTCTAATTTCAGTTTTTTGGGTACTGGAACCAAAAAATAATATTCATCTTCAGTTCCAATTCGATCCATTCCAGTTCCTAAATCCAACTTGAAACATGGGTACCGCCATGTTAGTTTGAGGAACATCACCCATATGCCACATTTAAGGTGAGAAACAAGAACGAGAAGTAAGGCGTATTTGCACAGAGTATTACAAAAGGGGGAAAACAAACTTGGCAAACACATGGTAATAATGATATTCCTCATAAAAAGAACAATACCATGCTATAAATCAGGCTTTTTAGCACCAACAGACGAGCATGGTTAAAGCATCTCCGAGCAAAATATTGTCATATAATCAAGGCTACGTGCAAGCCAACTGAGAGAACCAAAATATAGAATATCTATTTGTTCAGCAGTAGGCACAAACAGTAAGGAAATGAGCAATACCTGCTGCCAGTATTTGACCATCTCGCATGCAAGTCTTCTTTTCACAGCAAGTGTGGCCTTTGTACTGTCTATCGCAACCCCAAGCTGAATGTCGACACTCTGGTGAAGAGAGGAATATCATCCAAACAGAAGATAACTTGCTACAACTTAAGCAATCATTACTGGTTTTAATTATCTTGCAAGTAAGGAAAATTCACGACCTCAGATGCTTCAACTCATTTAATAACCTCAATCAACATTTTCACTTTCAATTTCATCAAGGTTGTGTGCACTGGATCAGTCACTATTCCTACTTTTATTAGCCATAAAGAAGTGGTAGACAGTAGTTTAAAATGCATCTTCTCAGAGATACAATTATGCAACTTGAAAATGCTGCATCTATCTATGTAAAGGTGATGTGTGAATGGCTGAGAATGTAATATTTACTTACCTGCCCTATTGCTTGTAGGCAGAGTGCCCGCAGGACTCCTTCTGCAAGGTCCACTGGGAGGTTTGTCCTGGAAAACACAAAGTAGAAAGGAGTGAATCCACCACAGCAGAGATTGCGCAATTTGGTGAAGTAGCTATAAACAAGATACCTAAGTACATTAGGCAACTGTGGGAGAACATTGGAGAGAGCACAGTCAAGGTAGCCAGCAGCCTTTAAGAGCAAATCGATAGAAGATCGCCGACTCTCTGTTGGCAAGGGCAAGATCTTAGCAGAACAATAACTGATTGAAGCATACAGTTGGAAAATTAGCATCTACAAAAGAGGTTCAAAAGCTCGTCTACATCTAAAAATTAACCAATACCGCGGCCCCCCTTCATTGTCAATTCCATCCACATTTGCCCTCATACACCTTTGACTATGGATGAAGCACCCAAGAATCAATGCATGAAAACCAATGTTCCCACTAAAAATACCCTTATTCCACACTTCCAAGTCATCCCACATTTTCTTTACCATAAGCCTCCAAGAGAGTACTTAGAGACAAAGTCAAGCATATCTTACACAATATTCTTGGTTTTACTCAATTCTTAAAAGACACCCCCAAAGTATCACTAGCATAATGAATTTCTCGAGCCCCATATCCATCTCCCCAAAGAGATCTTAAGGAATTTCGCTCTCTAGCTTTCCTTCTGACGCCGGTCTTGCTTAAAATGAGTAATCTACTTTTCATGATCATCAAGCACACCCACTTCAATCTCATTATCACTTGCTACCAGTAATTTACTGGCAAGTCTTCTAACCTCAACTCTCTCATGTGATCTCTCCTTTACCATCCCCTCAGTTTATCTAAGCTGCCTAATTTACATATGCTATGTGCTGGTAAGTGTGGGAAGCAAAACATACGAGGGTCCTCTTATGTAAAAACTTTGTTACAATTAGAAACAACAACCCCCATATATGCTATCAGCTTTTACTAGCAAGGCATAGGGAATAAATGAATCCTAGGGCATGTAATTGAACAACTTAGAACAATCTGGACTCTGTTTGGATTATTTTACCATAATTTTCAATTATTACAGCATTTGTTCAAGCGTACAAACATGCAAATAAAATATTTGATAACCTTCACGTCTGGTCCTAACATTATAAAATGTGCCTTTCAAGATAATTCTTAAGTCTGATTGCAGAATGCCCGAAGATGCATTACTAACAGCAAAAATTAACTTTAGAAAAAATAAAGAGGGAACGAAGCCTTGAAAATTTTTGGGAACACATCAACGGAGAGAAAAACAAGATGCATAAATTTTCGATAAAATATCCGGAGTTAAAATCACAGCTTTTGTCAGTACACCTACCTTCAGATACTTTTGGCTGATAACCATCAGCAGATGCTTTTGGAAGGAGTAAGAGATTTGCTTGTAATAAGGATACTGTTGCCATCAAGTGTAAAACAGATAACACTTCATACCACGCATTAGACATTGAGGTTTCCTGGAGATATACACGAAGATAATGAGATGACAGAATGACTCAGAGGAGAAAGTTTTGGTCTTAAAAGTGGGAATCTTAGCTTCACCTCTGCTTCATCCTCTTGATTGACCCAAACAAACTGTACTTTGTGTTGCAAAATACTGCCTACAAAACAGTTAATGCTCAAAAAATTTGAATTTCAAGGAGATCTCAACAAGTGGAATGCATCGTACATTCTTACCATCTTTAACCAATCCCAGAAGAACAGGTAAATAGTCTTCTAGAGCCTGAAGAAGATCTCCAAGCATGGAATCTCCTGCAGAAACAGATGGAATGTCATCAAATCAGAGGGTATACATATTGTTAAAACATTCAGACATACTACAGATCATACAAACCATGTTGAGTAGCTGTTTTGCGTCTCGTTCTTGTAATCGTTGCAACCTCTTGCCCTACCAATACAACTATTCTGGTTCTAAGAGCAGAGAGGCGTTCCACTAAGCTTTTAGTTAGACAGTCACCCAGCGACTCAGAGAAATCAACAGGCTTGGGAATCCGTATCCCAGGAAAAAATACCGTGAGCTCCCCAATGTATGCTGGTATCCTTCGGTTTCCACTTATTTCTGTTGGAGTAGAGAAAAGGCATCCCATTTCCCTCAAGTTCTTTAATCTGTCAACAAAACCATCTCTTTAAATGGACCACAGTAAGCATGAAGATATATCAATAAGGCATGATCAATAGATGTACATATTCATCCATTTCTTGTCCATGGCACGCGAGACAGCTAGATTTTTTCAGAACCATCCACAAGATAACAATAAAAAATTGAAAAGATTCAATACTATCAACTCAACTCAGGAAAAAAAGAAAAAACAAAAGTCAGCAGATTTAAGGCAATACTTAATAGACAAAAAATCTCAAACAGTGTATTATTTGTATTAAATAAGAGGGGGGAAAAAAAGCGCTTACCAAAGTCTTTAATGATCAAGTGCATATAGTTTAGTCAATCTCTGACATTTCTCGGCATTAAAACCCAATCAGCATCAAGACATTGAAAACAATAAATCATCAAAAAGAAATTAACCAAAAAGAGCAAACAAAAGAATAAAATGTCACAATAAAATCATGTGAAAATGTCATCTCCCTCAGCGCTTACTCTTTTTCAGACACCTCTAAATGCAGTCCTTCTCAATCTAACCGCGACCCTTTTCACCTCTCAACTATTTGAACAAGTAAGACTTCACCATGCTTAAAATTCCTCATTAATTAGAAGCTTTCGAGCCAAGCAATATCATGAGTAAAGAATCACCAATGCTACGCCCAAACAAGCAAACAAAGAATACAAGCGAAGCTACAATTTTCGGTGTCCATAAGAAATAAATACCAAAACAACAATAATTATAAAAAAAACCCCAAAATCACTGACAACAACAATAGACAGAACGGAATCTGCTTCAACTCTTAATAGCTAGGCTTTAAAAGAACTCAGCTGAACGATTAAAGGAAAACAGAAGCCTAGTCAAAATTAGCGAACCTGGCAACTAAAAATTTCCATCAGAACAGCGTTGTTCAAGGGAGAAAACCCAGAAAGCCATGATTGGTGTTGGTGGGGAGAGAAGTTGAATGGAGTCCAGCAAAATTCAAAGCTAGTAGACCTGTGTCCGATGGTAGTGGGAATTACCTACAGAAGAGGGGATTGCAATTTGCAGAGCGATCTGATGAAAATAGCCTTTTTGTTTTTGTTAGGAACTGTGAATTGGAATCAAATTATTCTCTCAGTTGTCAATTTTCATTTTAGTTTCCATAAATTTCAAATTTTGAAAATTATTTCAATCTAAACATACGGATAAATTTTTTATAAAATATTTTAAATATATAATAGACGTTTGGACATAATATATTTTCTCCCTCCATAAACTAATATTCTACTTTTCTATTAGACATCTAACAATTATAGTACTATTTTTTTAAAACATAAATTTTATATTTTTATCTTTTAATTATTTATTATTTTTAATCTCTGTTATAAAACAAATTTGTCAATACAATCACCTAAAATATCTTGGAAATATACTTTAGACAATAAAAATTGAATTGAGGGAGTATTTAAAATATTTTATTTTTTGAATTTATTAATGAGATAAAATCATAAAAACAAATTAGAATTCATCAACGGTTTTTGAATTATAAATACTATTAGAAAATTTTGAATTTAAATTAAATTTTTAATATAATATAATAATTAATCCTATATTTAAAAAATTGAATAGTCAACATAGACAAACACACCCAACTCCAAAAACTATTATCTAAACTAAGAGTGTATTTTTTTAACAAAATTTTTACAGCATTATTTTTTTTACTATCAAAATATATATATATATATACACCCCACAGTATATAATATTTACTTTGTTGGCTCTATTAATTAATAATGTAATATAAAATTATATTGTAAAATTTCAAACTAGAAATATTAGACGAACACATTTTGATAGATATGTTTGGCCAGTGGTTTACAAGGTATTAGACTCGGCCGAGGGTTTACCCAGTGCGTATTTGAGTAGCTGCTAGTTTGCAAGGTATTAGGTTCGGTCGGGAGTTTAACCAGTGCGCACTTGAAAAAAATAATGTATATATATAGTACTTTATTTGTCTCACTTATTATGTCCACATTTCCATTTCCGTTTGTTCTACTTTGTCATTTTCCTTTTTTTAGAAAAAAATTATACACTTTAATCTTATTTTAAAAAATTTAATTTTTAATTTTTAATTTTAATTATATTAATTAGTTATCTTAATCTTAATCTTAATCTATAATTATTTTTATTATACTATAATTATTTTCACTAATAAATTTTTAATTATTTACTAATTATATTCCTTCTAAATTCTCGTGTCTACAGTAATGTGGACAAAATATCCGAGACGGAAGGAGTATGTATATATGTATGTATGTGAATGTATATATATAAATACTACCTCCCTCCTTTTCGAATGGGTTTTTGGAGTTTTTGTAAAAAAAATAAGAAATAATAGTAGTATTTTATTGGTTAGTGGAAGTGTGTAAGAGATTTTGCTATTTTTGTCCTTCGATTTTTTGTATAGAATAATTGTATATGTAACGATATGTTTGTAATTTAAATAAAAGTTAAAGAACATTTTGGTATTAGCGTATGATCATTCTTTCTAAAATTGATACTTTGAAATATGACGGACGAAAATAGTAAAAATAATAGTACTTTAAATTGGAATTAAGAAAATAATATATATCATATATGATATATATATAATGTATATATATGACTTTGTGTGAGGAGAGACCTAATGGGATTTGATAAGGATGGAGCAGGTAGTTTTCTACTATTCAAAATTAAATAAAATTAAATAAAATTAAATATCAAATCAAATACTTCTTTAATTCAGTAATTGCACCTTATATTTAACATAATAAATACCTTTAAACTTACAATAATACAAATTTTATTAATTTTATATTACGCATAATTGCACCTTATATTTAACATAATAAATACCTTTAAACTTACAATAATACAAATTTTATTAATTTTATATTACGCATTATGATATTCTTCTCGAATGTCAAAGGAATTGAGGGCTTTGTTACATCAGCATTCCCAATATGATATAAATAAATGTTGAGGTAATATTATAAATTTTACATTTATTTTAAATACTATAAAAATAAAAATATATATATGTTTAATTTGATATTTTTAGAGAAAAAATATTAATTGAATAATATAAATTCCACGAAAATCTCCAAATAAAATACTAACCTTTGTGACAAGTAAAATCAAACTTAAAAAAAAAGGTAAAATAAAATTGACACATTAAAATAGCAAAGAATAAGGCTATTGTTTGAGTTGTTACAATATAAAACTAAAATTATTTATTTTAATCTTAAAAATATGCATACATATATAGTTATATATAAATCATCACAAAAATTCTACAAATTTCTAAGCTAACACGGTTACTATAAATATAATATATTTTTTCTAAATATATCTTAACACTTTTCTTTAAACTAAAAGTATAATCGAATAGATTTGGATTTGCCAAAAGTGATTGAAAGTTATATAGCTAAGATCTTTTACAAACGAACTTAAATATGTTAAAATGGCCGAAAATGATGTACCCGGGATCATAGACTGGATCATAGTTGAAAACAGAACATTCAACACCTTTAAAATTAAAAACAAGACTCTTTCACTCTTAACAGAGCTAGAGTCGAAAAAAGTGTCCCTCATTCACAACGAAACTACTTAGAGTCAGAAACAAAACGTGTTTGCTCTTAATAGAGTTAGAGTTGTAAACATGACTTTTAACGAAATTAAAATCGAAAGTAGAACTCTGACGGTAAAGATCGAAGTGGCAGCGACGAAGACGGCATGAAGATGATAGCATGAGCGTTGATATAAACATATACATCAATAAAATATATGAAATATAACGGGTCATTGATGTATCCGAAGATAATTTAACTTTAATACTTGTAGTAATATGAAACTAAAATTATCTATTTCAATTATAAGAATATTTATAATGATATATAAATGTCTTTACAAGACAAAAATTCTACAATCTTTTGAATTAAATTATAAATATATCTTAATATGAGTTGCACAGTAAAAAAAACCCCAAATCGGGGTTGCTCCATGCTTGGCCGACATAAATACTGCAGTCGGTAGTTATTTGACAATTTGTTTTTTTTTTTTATTTAAAATATAAATTTCTTGTACGCCATGCAAGAATCCAATAATATAAATAAATATAAACTTCAAATATATATATATATAGATATAATATAAATTCATAATCAAATTATACTATTATTAATTTTAAAAATACACATTTATATTATTATTGTTACGGAAATTTCAGAAAATTAAAAAGAAGCAAGCAATGATACAAATTGGAGGAGAGATGTACTATTTTATGTAAAATTGCACAAAAAATATACTTGAAATTAAAATTTGTGTTATATTGTTAAAATTAAAATTTAATTATAAAAGTACATGGAGTAATAATTTAACGATGATTAGATGTAAAGAATTACATTTTTACGTGATTATTTATTTTAATATTTTATAAAAAATATATTTTAATTAAAAATAATGCAAAATAAATAGTATCAATTCTTAAACATGTAAACACTAGAAAATTAATAATAAAATCTCAATTTCATATCATTAATATTCTTAATATCTAACAATTACTTATGTTACTCCATCAATCCCAACTCTTATGAATATAGTATTTTTCTTTTAATTAGTGACAATATGTATGATAATTTTGATGTTTTTAATTTTGATTTTTGTATTTTCGTCCACTTATATTAATAAGTTGATATTTTTTTTTATATTAATTTTTATATTACAATATAGTACAGATTAAAAAAAAAATATTTCTATTAGTGTCTTATAATACAAATTTAATAATATTATAAATATGAAAATATTTTTAATGTATATAAGTAGAATTATGCAAAAGATAAATATAAACTTATGAAGTGGACAAAGAGAATATAAATTAATTATATGTGTAATGATACGTTTGTCATTTATATAAATATTAAAGAGTATTTTGATAGTAATACGTTACAATATTAATTTTAGTATAATAAAAAATAAATATTTTTTCCTTAAAATGATAAAAATACTAAAAAAGAATACTTTTTTCTTAGTTGAAATTTATGCTCGGAACACGAGTTTTAAATTGAATAAAAAATAATTAAAAAAAAGTTGTAGGAAAAATAAAGATAAAAATGTTTTTATAACAAAATAAATTGAATATAAATTTAAATAATAATAATAAAGTACTACATACTATTTATTATTGGATAATTATTGCATCATTCACACCAAAGACAATTTATTGAAAATATATCAATTTATTTTAAGCGATGAAAATATATTCACAATACAAATAATAAGAGTTGCCATAAGGTCCTTATATAAACCCTAATATTCCAATCCAGCCCCAGATATTTTTGGGCTCCTTTACATATTCAGCATCTCTGCCCTATTTCCCAAATTCCAAATCGGCCCCCATTTCTAGGGTTTTCCTCCATCGCCCCACCAGAACCTTTTTTTCACGCCATTCTTCCATCCTACTCCGGTGAGCTTAGCTTCCTCTGCTCCCTGTATCCGGCCTTCGTTGTTCAATTCAATCTCTTCGTGTAACTGATTTTCTGTTTTTTTGATGAACTGAATGATGTAATTGATGATATATATGTGAAATTCCACTGCCTGCATTTGTCAATTGTGTGTTATGAGCATGTTCCTGCAGTTGCTTCGATCAATTAAAAATCTCATGTTATGGATGGACTTGTTTTGTGGCTCAACGGTAACCAGTTTCATTGTCGTGTTAATGCTTCAATTCTCTTCCTTTCTCTGTTTCAATTCTTTTATTTTTGTGGATTGTACCGTTTTTTCATCAGAGAGATAATTTGATTTCGCGCATCACTGCGTTAGCCTTAGATTTTGAGGCGTGTGTGTTTGCGTGCGTTTCTTTATGGAATTTTTTTGGTGATCCTTGATAATGGTGATCTGGACTATGAAAGAGAATTGATTTACTCTGTAATATCATGATTTTATGATTCAGAGAGACAGAGAGTGCATAACGGACTTATACTACGATCTTAGGTATAGAGTTGGCATTATTGATTTAATTTTGCAATGTACTTGGTTTTGTGTGATCTTACCATGTGTTGTTTCTAAGATATCTTTTCCATTTAATGGTGTTTTGAGTGCAAAATTCTGAAAAAAAAAATTAAATTTTGTTTTGGTATAGTTTTTTATTTTATTTTATATTTCTTTTCGATTTTGATTTCTAGGGTATACGGGCTCGAACGGTAGACCTTTATTGTCCTAAGTGTAGTTGGGCACGACAAAGTTAGGTTATACTTGCAAGTGATGTATTTTAATTTACAGTGAGGTAGTTACAAATTTACAATAACAAACATAGTGATTATTGGTGGATTGGGGATTATGGCACTCAATTGGAAAGTGTTGCACAATGCAGCACGTGCCCGTTTGTTTCACTAACCCTGCAATTAAGAGCCTCAAGCCACGATATATGCCACGTGTATAAAGTTTGCCCTTTATACATATATGTATCATGTTTCTGTTATTAATTGAGGAACTTGTATGATGGAATGCTCGTCAGTTGGATGTCCACCGGTTAACTTTCATGCTAGATGGTGATCAAGGAAGCTTTGTAAGTCAAAAACGATAGATTAGTGTCTGCTTATCCATGAACTTTTTGTATACTAGGTGATCATGCTCATATTTCATGCTATAGCTGTTCCGCTTGTTTGATCTCCCTTAGGGTCTGTCAGAACCGTTCTAAACATATATATTTCTAATTGCATAACAGTCCTTATTCTGGAAATATGAAGGCAGACATTTGCTTTTTTCCGTAAAATTTAATCTAGAAAACACTAAAAAAGGATTAGCATTTTTTATAGGTAGTTTTTTATATTCAAAGCGACCATCCACACACAAATACTATGATAGTGTGGTGGTCCATCTCCCCTTCCCTACTTAACCGTATTGAAGATTCATTTAGTTAAAGCAGCTTCATAGGAATAAGAACAATGTGGTATACTCAGTATTGTTATATCTAACTGCAATTTAATTCACAAAATTTTGAATGTGCAATGCCAATATCATTTGATAGGCTTAAATAGACATTTTGGGTATCATGTTCTCATTGTTTACTGTTGGGTCATGATTGTGTTATAATTACTTGTCAAGTTTGTGTTTTGCTCGGCAAATTACATGCATGATACTTTTTATGATCTGAGATTAATGTGCTCGTGCCAAATTGAGTAATGCTAGAACAGAAGGATCAAACTCTGGTTTTCGTGCGACAGTTCTTCCCAAAGGAAATGAAAAAAATAAAGTCTAATTAGTGCAACAGTCTTTTCCCTTTTTCAGACCTCTCTCTCTCTCTCTCTCTCTCTCTCTTCAGATATATATATATATATATATGTGAATGCCACTCTGATTTTAGTAATGAGTCATGCTGTGGAAGTAGAATACAAGACTGTGACGTCTATTTAGCTGATCGATTCCTTGTTCTTGGTTTTCTTGAAGATACTTTCCATGGCAAAGGGGAAGCTTATATTAATTTGCCAATCTGGTGGTAAATTCATTACCAACAGCGATGGTACCTTGTCTTACGAAGCTGGAGAGGCTAATGCTGTAAATGTCAATCATGACACCCTATTCGAGGACCTGAGGTTGAAGCTAGCAGAAATGTCTAATTTGGATCAGAAAACAGTTTCGATTAAATACTTCCTTCCAGGAAACAGGCGGCATCTCATCACTTTGAGAAATGAAAAAGACCTAAAGAGAATGTTGGGTTTCCATGAAAATTCAGTGACTGCTGATATTTTCGTGGATGGAAAAGAAGGATTCGATCATGATGCTGCAAAATTAGAGTCTAGCAGGTATTTAACACAATTCCATATTTAGTATATAGCAGTAGCTCTTTTTTTGCATTATGAATACTTTTTGGTGTGTTTGTTTGTGGGTTTGAATTTTTTAATAGTAAAAAGTTGAATTTAAATAGTTGTTTGATGTGATATAAATAGATGATGTGGTGTTTTGAATGTAAAATAGATTTATAATAATGGAGAAAAAAGAAAAAAGGAAAAGTAATGGTTTTATTTGATATTTTGGAAGAAAAACAAAATCTGAATAGTAAAAGTTAAAACCCGCAAAAGAACACAACTTTTTTATGTTTTAGTTTGGACTCGATACGTATATTAACAGAAGCGAGGATGGGGAAGGTAATGAAGACTAATATACGCATATCTGTGGCTTTGTAATAATTAATTTTCTGGCTATCTTCTGTTCCGTTACACATTTGTTGGTTGCTATATATGTCAGCTGATTTATTTGTTCTCGGGTACGTCTTCCATAAACACATGATGATATACTTGCAGGGACAGTAGCGTGAAGCTTGCCGAGACAGTAAACCATATTTCGATACCTGCCTCTGCTTCTACTCTGGTCGCTGATAATGTTAAGAGTCCAGATTGCCATACCGATGCTTCACCTGATGATACCGAACCACCTGTTTGTATCCCTGCCGATGTCTCAAGCCATGACCAGCCACACTCTGCTGCACCACTTTCTGAACACGATACTGAAAATGGTGCCGACTATAAGCCACTGTTGTTCGTCAATTCTAACGCTGATCAGAGCCCAGGTGGTGTAGACATGAATGGTAGCCCAGCAGATACTGTCAAGAAGCGGAGGCGCACTGCATCATGGGCACTTGGTTCCCTCGGGACGACGATAGTTTCTGTTTCCGAAAACGACGGCAGCAAGCGAAGGAGGAAAAACAACCAGGAGGACCAAAACGACGACGCAGTTGCAGGAACGAATGATCTCGAAAATCCGTCCACCGTATCTTTCTCGGCCGATTCTTTACCGGAAAAGTTAGTAGCCTCGTGGAGAGACTGCATTACAGGCGTCGGACAGGATTTCAAGAGCGTGAAAGAGTTTCGACAGGCGCTGCAAAAGTATGCTATCGCTCACCGGTTTGTCTATAAATTGAAGAAGAACGACTCTAATCGTGCAAGCGGTATCTGCGTCGAAGAGGGCTGTTCTTGGAGCATCCACGCCTCGTGGGTTCTTGCTTCTCAGACATTTACAGTTAAGAAGTTCAACGATTCGCATACCTGCGGAGGGGCGTCTTGGAAGCACGCTCATCCCGCGAAGAAGCTGTTGGTAAGCGTTATTAAAGATAAGTTACGGGATTCTCCGCACCACAATCCGAAGGCTATTGCTCAAAGCATTTCGCAGGACTTTGGGCTCGAACTAAAGTACACACAAGTACGACGAGGTATCGAGGATGCTCGGGAGCAACTCCACGGTTCGTACAAAGAGTCGTACAATCGCTTGCCGTGGTTTTGTCGGAAGTTCGTCGAGATGAATCCGGGTAGCGTCGTCAACCTGATTACTAATGACGAGAAAAGACTCCGGTACCTTTTCGTCTCGTTTAATCCCTTTGTCCGAAGCTTCCAGACTGCTTGCCGGCCTATTCTCTTCCTCGACGCCGTATCTATGAAGTCAAAATATCAAGAGAGCTTGTTACTAGCGCTCGCCGTCGACGCCGACGACAGATTCTTTCCGGTCGCGTTTACGATAGTCGATTCTGAAAACGAGCACAGTTGGCATTGGTTTCTCGAGCAGCTGAAATCGGAGGTAACGACTCCCTCGCCGATAACTTTCGTCTCGGATATGGAGAAGGGACTAAGCAAATCGTTACACGAGATATTCCCGAATCATTATCACGGTTACGATATTTATCGTCTTACGGAAAGCTTCAAGAGTAACTTGAAGGGTCCGTACCATGGCGAAGGACGAGGCGTCTTGCCTGCGAAATTTCTCGCCGCGTCCCGCGCAGTTCGACACAGTGCTTTCCGATCTTCCATGGAGCAGATGAAACAGATTTCGTCGAACGCTTATGACTGGGTGAATCAGATCGAGCCGAGAAGCTGGGCGAGCTTCGCGTTCTGCGGCGAGCAGTACAATCATGTCGTACAGAATGTCGCGGAACCGTATGCGAAGCGGATCGACGAAATCCAGGATTCGACGATAACGCAGAAAATCGAAGCCGTGGTTAAAATGATTGAAGAAATGATCATCGGTCGTCGGACGGAGTCGAGCCAATGGACATCGAAGCTGACGCCGACGAACGAAAACAAGATTCGAGCGGCGAGCCTCAAGGCTCAAGGGCTGAGAGTGTTCATCTCGTCCGACGTACTCTTCGAGGTTCACGACGACTCGACGCACGTCATCAATATTGAGCGGCGGGAATGCACTTGCCTCGAGTGGAAATGCAACGGGATCCCGTGCTGCCATGCCATCGGCGCGTTCAACTACTTGGGGAAGAATGTGTACGAGTACTGTCCGAACTACTGCAGCGTCGAGAGTTTCTGCCTGACGTATTCCGAGCCGATCAACCCTGTCCCCGATTTTTCGAAAGAAGATTCCGATCTGGGCGAGGTGCAAGTGCTTCCGCCGGCAGCTGTGGCTGCCCCGAGATCGACGACGACGACGACGACTCAACAGAAGAAGGAACAAACGAAAACGACGATGACTGCGGCGGAGGATCCCGACAAAAGGACCGTTACTTGCTCGAAGTGTAAAGAGGCTGGGCACAATAAGGCTTCGTGTAAAGCCGTTTGATTGTGTTTTTTTGGCAATGTAAAGAGAAAACTATTAAGTACAAATTTCATGTACATTACTATAAGTAGATGGATATGCCAATTTAAGAGATAGGGTTTATTGGAATATTATCTAAGAATTAGACAGTGGTTCTTCTGGATAAATGATTTTTTTGTTACATATGTTTTTATATATATATATATATATCTTTTATCAAAATAAAAAAAAGCCTCACACGTACTAAATAAATTTTTTTTTAACAGATCTGAAGAAAAGTTGATAAAATTGAGGCTGTCTATTCTAATTGAGGCTAAGTCCATTATAAATTGCAACGTAATAGCTTCATTTCAGAGATTAATAATAAAATTGGAACAACAGCTACCTTGCTTTTTTATTTCGTAAACCATTTTATTTCATTTTTTTTAATTAAAAAAAATATGTTGACACATCATGTCCACGTCATCTTTCAAAGGCTTTTTTAACATAGGTCATTGTAAATGCTCGAGAAAGAGAGCGTATATATAGAGCTTGTATATAAAATCTTCTATCGTAAATCAAGGTTTCTATTCTTTATTGTCATGAAATTTTATGTGCACTGACTTTCTTTAAGATGTTAAAATAGTGCGACCAATTTTAAGACTTCAATCTGAGTAAATTTTCAGTCAAATCTAATAGCTTGTAAATAAGACCAAAAAGTATCAAAAATTTGAATTTATGATTTTATGATTACGAATTCACTCCACATTAATAGCTCATTTTTTACGGGGATCGCTAGAGTAATAAGTTACCTTCCTTACCTGCACAAAATAAAACAAAGAAGTTAATTCAAAATTCATAACAACTGCAATACAAGATTAAACCCATATCTAAATATTGCTTTCAACAATACTCGTCTCAATAGTGTTGTTTTATCATTTTTTTTTTTAATTTTAGAATAATAGTCTTATTTTTATAAAAAAAATCATATCACCGTAAAATTATTACTATTTTCTTTATTATTATTACATAAATATCAATTTTTTTATGCTTAAATTAAAATACACTTACCAGGTAAATAAAAAAAATTTACTCCTAATTTCCACTCATTATCATTATAATAACATTTCTTAAATCTTATGCCAAAAAAAATATTCATTTTTTTGGGACGAATATAGTATATTATAGTGTACAATCTTTATACACGTCCCAAACCTAAGAAACGATCAAATTATTTTTCTATTTTTCAAATTTGATCAATCATTTTTAATATGTATATGTATTTATGAATATATAAAAAATTAAATTTATGTTAATATTTGGTGTTAAAATTTGTAAAGTAACTATATCACTTCGACTATGTTATATCAGCACACATGATAATACTTTAATACTAAAACAATCTTCAGCAATTATAAATTAGATATAAGATTTGTTTATATAAGCTTCAGCTAAATAATCAAATAATACTTGGAGCTACATTCAGGATTAAAATATATAAATATATATTATCCAAAGTTTGTAGCAAAGTATGTGCTTGGTAGCAACTGCAATGGTTGCAGTCTAAAAAGGCTTCCAAATTTATTAAAAAACTGAATATTTTAATCTTAAATCATCGGCCTCCATTAAAATGAGCATAATGGTTCTTGAATTTTTTAAACGTAGAGAAACTTCATATGAATTTGTTAAGTTCTTCACCACACGATAATGAAAGAAACAAGAGACAATGGGTTTAAATATCCGACGCCTCATGTTATCTGCCACATATATTTCGCCTAATGTGACTTGTCTGTTGGGTCTAATTTATATGGTATTAAATTCGACCGAAGATTTACTCAGATGAGATAGAGGATAGGGAGAAAATTTAATAATAGAAAAACATAGAAAAATTTACCCACTATGCACTTTCGATACCGGTTAATGCCGCTGCCGTCTCTTTTTCACTCTAAAATTAGGCCATTGTGTAGCAATATAGAACCGAATCAAATTCAAATACATATTTAACCAAAAAATAAAAAATCAAATTAAAAATTTAGCAAATAATCTAATGACCAAAAAAATATAGCCCCACTTAAACCAGTTGCGAAGATGAACAATATTGTGGTCACGTGGTAGTGTGGGATTGGACTTGTAACCGTGAGGTCATGGATTCAAACCCCGACGCCTCAGGTAACCTACCACACATGGTTCGTCGTCTAATGTGACTTGCCTGTCAGCCTAATTTGTAGGGTATTAGGTTCAATCAAGAATTTATCTAGTACACACTTTTGAATAGCGACTACAGATTCTCACGTCATAATAATAATAATAAAAAAAAAAGAAAAAAAAAATCGATGTTGTGTGACAGTGCAGCCGCGGGGCAGAAAGATGGCTGGATGGGGTGAAACGAGTTTTAAGGTTTGAGTTGGATTTGAATTGAGCCTCATTGACTAATTTTACTAATAATTATAGATAATAATAATAATAATAATAATAATAATAATAATTTAATCTATACAGCAAAAATTTAAAAAATAATACTCCTTTCATCCTATATTAATAATCTATCCATTTTTCTATTACCCTTTCAATTTATATTATACAATACTATAAGGTTAATTTAGTCTTTCTACATTTATTTCCACTGTGCAAATAGATAAATATGGAAAGGAGGGAGCATATTGTATAAAAATATCCAGTTCGATTAACCAAATCAAAAAAATAATATTAAAAATCGAAATCGAATCGAACAAATATCAAATATACAGTATTTGTATATTCGAACTGAATTTGCTCGTTAACCGAAAATTCAATTTAGTTCGGTTCAGATCTACAATTTGGTTCGAATTTTTTGCCCGCCCCTAGCTCTAAGGGGTGGGCATCAGGTCGGATATTTCTACTTCAGGTAGATCAGGCTGTACACCTGAAATTTCCAGTAGTATTTTATATGGCCTGAACCTGACCCAAACTTTTCAAATACCTGAAAAGGCATCTTTGAATTCAAGTACCCTAATTTTTTTACTTTTATTTTATTTTTGTATTTAAAATATAGTTATTTACATTCGACAAAAATGGCAAAATCATCAAACTAAGTACAAGTCTTGATCCTGTAATGACTGTAGAGAACCTTCAACCTAAGTCTATGAATTGATCTAAGACATTGATTGTAGCCATTGCTGTAAACATCGGGTTTTATTACACATTCTATCAATAAAGAAGTGATACACGTGAATGCCAGATACCCGACTTCGAAGATGAATAAGTATATAGGATTAGGATTCAACTTTCGCATAAATGGGGTATGATAAAATATCGAACCAAATTCAAATTCTATCCAATAACTACTACTATACCAATCAGAATTAATGAATTGAGTCTAACATTAGTTGATCCAATTATAAGAATGTCATAACCAAAGGCATGAAAATCGACTAGGAAAAATGGACAGAAATCCGCAAGAACTTTCTCAAGACAAATAATACTTACTTTAGCGCTAGCAACGACTAAATATGTCCTACACAACATCGCATGGCAATCAGGCAAAGAAAAACAGATAAAAGGAGGATATTTACCTCGCATGTATAACTGAGGTTAAGTTTCATCCAATCAACATTTAAGTGCGTCGTGAACTTTCAGAGCTTACCATTATCGTTCACGCTTCTTCGCCATTCCCTATGGCTTCTCCTGATCTTCTGGCTTCCTCTCGTTCTGCAGATATATGAACTATGATCAGCATAGATATACAGATGAGCAAACCAGACCGTTAACTACAATGCCAGTTAAAGTATTACGAATGTTTTTGTCTTGGAACAAAGTCAATATTGAATACTGACTGGCTTTCTTTCTTGATTCTAATCAAATGCTTGTCAGAAAAAGGGGAAGATGGTAATCTGTAATGAGTAAATTTATGTTCTCGAATATGATAAATCACTTGAGCTGACACATAATTTGAATTAAATAGTTGTTTAATTCATGCCAGCAGTTAGGTTCATCTGAAATTTATTTTCCAGCAGAAGCTTCAAACACCATTAGAAGTTACCCATCCATTCTCACGTAAACTGTTGAAAATTTAAAGGAGTTTCTAATTACTAATGCACTATTCATGAAAACACTGATAAGCAACAAAGTGATGTCTATTCATGTAACTAAGAAACAAATTCATGTCACAAACATCCAAGAAAATAGTTGAGCAGCAATGTATTGGTGACATGGAAAATAATGCAAGTAGAGGCAAATCACCGTACCCATAAGTGTTAACATTGCTTTTTGAGTGCGTCGTTCAAGCTTGTCTAGTCTCTTCTGCACATCCCTCCTCAGGTCCCAATTAGGTTTCTTTGGAGCTATGTGTAGAAAGGGATCCTGGATCATGTCCTTGGCATTTAGAACTCATCAACAATTACATAATATAAAAAGAATAAAAATCAGGAAAGGAAGTCTATAGGGCTCCATTAAGCACCTCTTTCTTCTCTTCTGGAGGAGGATCAGCCACAACTGGATCTTCAAATTTAGGTAACACTGGCGGGGCAAGTTTACCCTCTTGTAGTAGCTTGTCATGAGGAAGGTAATTACGAAATTTCATATTGACATTTCTGCAAGCAATAAAAAGTAGTTATGCAAACTTAAATTATTACAAGCTGTGCTTCATTACACAATCATGAAGGAGACAATAAAGCATTAAGAACAATCCCAACATTTTTTCCAAAACTTCAGACATCAAGCCAAAGAGTGGTTAAGACTAAAGTGACTACAATTTACCTCATTATATTTATGGTGTTACCCTTTTAGCTTGCATATTGGGGTTTGGGGGTAATTAACACATCTATATTCATCACGGAAACATCCAATTACAATACTGGCACAATAACACCAACAAATGTGTGAAACCTTACCACATGATAATAACCTAAACAATTTTGCTAGACCATTAAAATTTCCATGGAAATTGTATTGAGAAGTAATGTATATGGAACTTGTGACGAGTCTATTTCTGTCGGGGGTCCTGGATATGTAACTACTCAAGATATCATCTTACCGCCTTATAGAGAAATCGTCAACAATACACAACATATAGCTAGCTTGACAGAGCCAATTAGTTTGTGTATAGGATTAAAACTCTAGAGAAATCACGGCTATCTTCGAAAAATGCCGCACAACTTGAAAGATGGAAGTTATCCTATAGATGGTGTATTCAATTCCTTAGGAGAATAACTAGAATTGTATTCAAAAGGATAAATCGATGGAATTAGACACATTGATATTATCCCACTGTCTAACCAGCTACATTTTTTGTGAAATTGTCTTTCTTTCGTATTTTTAGTTTTGATGTTTTGAGGTAAATGTAGTTATTGGATACGGTGATTGAATGCAAAATGGGTGTTAGATGTGATTTTTTTCCGAGGATAAATGAAAGATTGAATAGTAAAAGATTAGGGATAAATAGACCCCAAGATTCCAACTTATTTAACTAAATCATTGTAAAGCAGCCTTCAGTCCATCGTTTCTCCCATTGCATCTCAGGTGACTTACATTACAATATACCTTATTGAAAGTGCCAATAATACAAAATCCAAATTGCCTACTTATAAGACGGCATTTTTTATATTCCTTAAACAAAGCCATTCAAGAAACAAATACTGTCAGTGTATCAACTCTTGAAAATCTTACAACCACATTTGTAGCTAAACATGCCTCAGCACATCTCACAAACGTTAGAACAATATACCTTTCAAAATAAACAAAGTTCTAAAGAAATCAAGACAAACACACTGCCAGAAAGACGTAACAAAACTTGTTCATAAGAAACATAATACTATTATCATTAGATCTTAACTATAACATATAAATTCCATGAACAAAAACACGTCTGCATAATCAAATTTCAAAGCATACACGGAATGAAAAAATAAATAAATAAAAAAAAAAAAAAATCGACATCCTTCAGCAAGGCCTATTCCAATCGCGGAGTTTGTTATCACGCCAGTGCAGTCTAGCAAAAGTCGGAGCGATTTCTCGCAACATCACTAACGAAATTGGGTTAAGGGGGTTCAATTCGAGAGAGAAATAGCAGTTGAGAGAAAAATAAGAGAGACCAAGAATTGGGGAATGGAGAAGCAGAAACTTACGTCTCATCTTTATCTTCTTCGCCATTTTCTTCTTCCTCTTCTTCTTTTTCCGGCTCCAGGTATCGTTGTGGCTGCTGATTTTCAGCATCGTGACGAGGTTCGCCAGTTGATGCGTTATCATCGGGAGTGGTGAGGAGTTCCTGAGCAGCTTTTAGCGCACGAAGCCTCTCTCTGCGCGCTTCCGCCGCAGCCTGGACGGAATCCTCGTCTCCGCTGCCCATGAAAGCTTTAACTTCGGCGAAAGGTGAAGAAGGGTTTCTCTTTAAAAATTGTCTCGGCCGCTTCAATTCGAATGCAAAATTGTTAGAAAGAGTCCCCAAATTGACTCTTCAGCCTCAATGCCCTTTTCTTTTTTTTTTTTTTTTTTTTTTTTTTTTTTTTTTTAAGATAAAATTAAAATATAATACTTTCTCCGTCTACTTCTAAAATCACATTTATTTTTTTATTTAATATTAAAAATATTTTTATATATATAATATTTTTTACAAATATCTGTCTTATTTTATAATTTTTTTAATTTATATTAAATTTTGATATAATAAAATGTATTCATATATCATTGTAAAAAAACTAAATAATATCCATAAAACCGAACAGATATAGTAGTATTTTACTAGCATGAATTAATTAATTGTATATATAATAAATTTTTAATATAAAAAAATAATAATTTAAAATGACGCAGACGAAAAATATATATATATTTGACTTCAAGTTAAAATTCTTAATATAAATAATAATTTTTATATAGAATTCTTATTATTATTATTATATGTAAATATGTAGAGGATATATATTATTATTGTGTAATTATATTTATATACTCTCTCATTCCTATAAACATGAGTATTATTTTTTAGTTTTGTCTGTCTCAAAACTATTTTTTAGTTTTGTTTCAAAAGACTCAAAATGTATTTTTTTTAATTTAATAATTATTTAACTTATTTAATATAATAAATATTTTTATAATTTACAATATATTATATAAATATTATAATTTTTATATTATATCGTACTAATAGGAATATTTTTGTATTTTTTTACTACAAATTAATATAATACTAATATTAAAAAATTTTAAATACAAAAAACAAATGATACTTTTGTTTCAAAACGAAAATAGTATTACTTGTTTTATGTTAGATATTAATAAATATATAGTTAATATAAAAAAAATAAAAATTCCACCACTATCTATTAAATTTTTAATTCTTTTAAGAATATATTTTGGTATATATATATATATTCTATTTTTAATAATATTAATCGAAATAGATAGAATATATGTTATACTATATTTTATGATATATGGAGTACATATTTATATATATTTGTTATACTATTAATGAAAAAAAATTGATGGAAAAATACACTTATTTTCTTTTTTTTTTTTTTACTTTTAATCATTAGATTTTATATTAAAAAAAATTCTATAAAAAATATAATACTACATCAAATATTACTCTTTTCACCGGATAAATTAGTATATTTGGGTTTGACACGAAAATTTAAAAATAAATAAATATTTTATTAGAAAAGTAAAAAAAAGAAAAAAATAGTTCAAAATATTTTTTAAAATTTAATTAGAAATAAAAAGAATGAAAAGAAAGAATGCAATAAATATAATTGTATTTGTTGTAACTAAGTATTGAATGAAATATAAGTATTTAAATATTGACTTTGTAAAAATTAATAATAAAATAAATTTAACAGCGGCCAAAAAAATAATAAAAATAAATTTGACGGATAAAAAAATATTTTAATAAAAATTTTCGAATTTTAAGTCCATTTTAATATGAAAAGAAACACATTTGTTAAGTTGAGCTTTGTGGTGTATTCTTTTTGTTTTTTCTTTCTAACATATTTTTCAACAAAAAATTAATATATTACATACTTAATTATTTTTATATTACCTATACAATTATTTATACTTTATGTAAAAAATATATTTTTAAACTATTTTACAAAACAAACACGTGTTTCAGTATATTTGGAATGTAAAAATTTTAAATTTTAATAATTATTTGATATAATGTAAATAGATATTTGTTATAATATTTTAAATAAATATTGTATATAATATTATATTTTTTAAAACACAATAAAATAAATGAGTGTCAATGGTAAATATAGATATGTGAGAACACAATCAAATAAACTTAAATTTTTTGTTTAATATACTTTCTAATAGATAAAATTCTCATTCAAAATGACATGCTATTAAAAATTTATTTCTATCAATTTTAAATCAAAATTTTATTGCTTTTAAATAACAAATCAAAATTCATACCTTAAACAATACACTCTTTTTCAATAAATTTCAATAAATTATATAGATACGTTCTCCAATAAACTAACGTAATTTTGACAACTTGAAAGTGTTAAATATTACAATTGTGAACCTTTAAAGTAGAATTTGTTCATAAAATAAAAAAGAATTACATTGCATACCAGGGCCGGTATTGGGCCCGAGCGGGAATGGCGCCATGGTAAATATGAGTCTATTATATATTTATGTTATATATATAAATTAAAAGGATTATAGTTTTTGATAGTATAGTGATTAATTTTTAATATTAAGATCTTAAGTTCAAATTTTATATGTCTATGATATTTATAAATATTTTTTTATACTATTTTTTATTTAAAAAAATCCTAGAAAATTATTTTATTTAATTATAAATAAAAATATATTATTTATATATATTTAGAGGTCTATATTTTATTTTACCTCAGCCCTTTCGAAAGTTAGGATCGACCCAATGCATAACACACGTATGCATGCATATAAGTGCAAAATAATAGTAATAATAATAATAATATAAAAACATCACACTACTGTAATAAATACACTATTGTAATAAACTTTATGCAAATAAAAAAGCATCACACTATTGTAATAAACTTTATACTGTGAATATATATATATATATATATATATAAAAAGTTGACTATGACGATATGATGAATGCTCCAACATTGCAAATTTAGATGGATTAACACAATATTAAAGTTTTGATTTATTAATCAATATATTTTTCAAGATTGATATAATGCAAGTTTGGCATAAAAATAGTGTAATCAAAGGATGGCCACGACAAAGGGATATTTTTGCCATAATAAATTTCTTATTTCTAGTGGAAACAGATAATGATTCCATGAGAAATAGTGAAATATGTACTAATAATTTCTTATTTCTAGTTAAAATAGATAATGGTTCCACGAAAAATAGTGAAATCTGTACTAACTTATTTGTTTTTTTTGTAGTAAATATTTTATGTACTATTCAACCAAATTACGAAAAACTAAAAGTTACAGCGAACATTTTATATATAGTATATTTCCTATGAAAAAAAAGTCTAATATCTACTATACAACACACTATGATTGACACACCATAAACAAATAGGATCTCTCGATATTTTACTCATGCTTAAGAGCTAATTGAGTGTTCATCATACGTTCGATCAACTCACAATCCAATCGATTTCCGCAAGAAACTCACCGGCATACAACAAGCTCAAGTTCTTGCATAATCCGAATAATATGTGTCACCTTCTAGTTTTCATTTTGATCTCATTGTATTTTGGTTTTTTAGGTCGACCACGAACTTACTTTGAACAAAGCTATTTTCCGACATGACGAATAGCTTCAGATGAGAGAAATCAAAGACACTAACTTTGCTCTCATGACATAGTTCGATTGGAATTGCTGAACGCTACTTGAATCTCAATGCAATGCCGATTCAACAACATTTCGCAAACATCCTTGCTTCAATAAGTATGCCTTTGTCCTTGAGCCCAAGTAATCAATATTCTAATATTCTTCATCTAACCTATCTTTAACATAAATTTAATCATATTATTTTGCACCAATTTTGTTCTTGTAGATTGATCAATTTGAGAGTTCCTTTCGAACGATATCTTCGGAAAAAAAAAAAAAAAAAAGTGTCAATTGAATTAGGTCATGTAGAAGACCAACTTAAGATGGGAAGGTCGTTGGTCTTGTGGTATAGATCACGTAAAAAACATTGTGTACCTATTAGCATTATCCATATTTGCATATCATTATATGCATCCTTTATTTAAAAATAGAAAATAAAAAATATATTGTTATCATGTAGAAATTCAAGATATTGCATCTTACAAGATCCAACATTGAAAAATTCTTTTTACTTTGTATTTTTTTTAGTGGCACAAGATCTCATAAATATTATCATAAATACAATATATGCACACATTAATTTATAAAAAATTAATAATTCAATACAAAATATTATGTTCTATATTATCAATACGAATTTTCATATATAAAATAAAAATATATCCATCCAAAAACACAAAATGAACACACCCATAGCTAATTCAAGAATGTCTAAATAATAGTATATTTCATCGGAACAATGTAAAGAGGATTTTTCTTTTGCATAGAAATTCCCAACAATGGATCCGTATCGATATCTTGAGCGCAAATATTCTCGGGCAGTTCCCAATCGAAAGGGTAGACAAGATTCGCCACCGTGAGCTCCACAGTGGCAAGTCCCATGTGCATACCGGGGCAAATTCTTCTACCCGATCCAAATGGTATCATGTTGTAATTATCTTGCCCTTTTATGTCGACATTCTTGCCCAAGAATCTCTCGGGCAAGAATTCATCGGGGTTTTCCCAATACTCGGGATCTCTTGAAATGGCCCATGCATTAACGTAGACAAGTGTCTTTGGCTCGATCTTGTAGCCTTCGAGAGTACATGTCTCGATAGTTTCCCTAGGCACGAGTAGAGGCGCAGGAGGGTACAATCGGAGAGATTCGCTTATGACTGCTTTTAGATAGGGAAGCTTAGGTAAATCTTCTTCGTCGACATATCCTTTCGAACCAATTGTGGATCTCATTTCTATCTGCAATTTCTTCATCACATTTGGTGTCTTCATCAAACCAGTCATTGTCCAAACTATTGCAGCGGCAGTTGTATCGGTTGCTGCAATGATAATGTTCTGCCATTCAAAGTTCAAATCAATATTATTCATCTCATACAATATTCAATAAAAATATATTATTCATAAAATATTATATTAAAATAATATACAAATAAAAATTTAAAACTGCATCATATTTCAAATCATAGTCAAACAAAACCTATAAAGTGTGTTCTTTGTCGGGTTTAGTGTTTGGGAATATTAGTACTTCTTCCTTCTAGGATAATTATGTGTTTTTATTTGGCCATAAAGATTAAAAAAGTTATATTTTAATATAAAATAGAATAGGTAAATAGTAAATTGAAAATATTATATGAAATTTATTAACGAATTGATAAAAGACAATGGTTTGTATAGAAAAAACAATGACAAATTGAACATTATTGATTAAAGTATTGTATAAATAATTATGCATGAGTTTAGCCGGCAATCAAAGAAAGACGAAGAAACATAAATCTATTTCGAGTAAAGGATGGTCTAGTAGTGTGAGGGTGGACTCGTGATAGTGTGAGGGTGGACTCGTGACCGTGAGGTCATGGGTTCAAATCCCGACGCCTCCAAATCACCTTATTCATCTTTCGGATAGTGGCTGCGGATTTCCACGTAGTCAAAAAAAGAAAAAAAATTGAACAAACATAATTTTGGACATCAAATCTTCTATTCCCAAACTTTTCTACTCCTCCTATTTCAACCAATGAAATGGACATAAAGAAGAAAGATAATATAAGTAGGTATTAGAATTTGTATAGTTTAAAGCTATTCTCTTAACAAAGTATCTATTATTTTTTGCGTCATTATATTTAACATTAAAATAGCATTAAATTTATATGAGTTTGTTCACTTTATATTTTTGCATAAATATATTTTTTTATACTCCCTCCGTCCCATCGGAAGAGTGACATTTGCTTTTTGCATGTAGATTTTTTAATATTAGTATTATATTGGATTGTAGTAAAAAAAAAATAAAAATACCCTTATTAGTATTGTGTAATATAAAATGAATGATATTTGTATAATATAATGTAAGTTGAAAGGGTAATTATTATGTTAGATAGGTAGTACAATTACTAAATTAGGAAATAATAACCTAGTTTTGGGACGAACAAAAATAGAAAATGTTAATCTTTCAATGGGTCGGAGGGAGTATTAGATATAAGAAATTGTGTTGATAATATAAAAATTAATATTTTGGATTGCAATGTTGATTGTTTATAGGTGGATAAAATATCCTCCCTCCGTCCCACAATTCATTTACTATTTGAATCATTGTACTTAACATAAAAAATATCCTTATATTTGTATAATTTTCTGTACAAATGTTATTATATTAGTATTTTAATACACTAATAGATACATTTTTGTCATTTTACCTTAATTTGTAATATGTTTTGATATAATAATTAATATTCTAAGATCAACATGCAAAAAGTAAATAAATACTTAGTTACGGAATAGAGAGAATATATATTATATATATTGTGTTAATTCCGTGCATATTGTATTTTTTAACAATATTTATGAAAAATCGTTCAATTTAAAAATATTAGGTGAACAAACTGATATAAATTATTTAAATTTATTTTCGTATACTCCCTCCAACAGATTAAGGCAAGGTGGATGGAGTATTAGGCAACATGGGTCAATTGATCCACCAAAAAAATTAAAAATAATACTAATTATTATTAAAATTATAATTACACTCTTAAATCGATTTATTAATATTTTGTTTATATTAAGAATAATGACATTTTTAATTTTCACAATCTATCAAAATAAAAATAAAAATAATACTCAATTATCACTAAACTTACATATTTACCCATAATTTAATTCATTACTTCTATATTTATTTTTTCATCTTATTTTTCTTTTATTCTAATTTTCAGCCATAATTTAATTTTATCTGCTCTTTGTTTTTTTCATTCTTGAATCTTCACTTAGGTCTTAATTTACACCAATACCTCCTACAGGTAATTAATTTTATTTATTATTTTATTATTTTAAAATGAATTGAAGGTAATTTGGCAGATGACCGTTGTTTATTAGGACTTTTTTTTTTTTTTTTTTTTTATGGTATGTGAAATTTTTTGTATCATTATCTTTTTTTTTTTAACTTTAAATCTTTTAGAGTTAATTATGGTTTGTGGGATTTTCAAGAATTTATCATTCAATACAATTTGTATTATATTATCAATGATTTTATGTCTTTGTGTTTGTGATATTGTTGTGATATGGTTTGCTGATGTATTATTATTATTATTATTATTATTATTATTATTATTGAATTTTAGCTTTTCAAAATGAAGAGTTTCAACTTTTTATTTTTTTAAAAAAAGTTCACCCAGACAAAGAAAAAAGTCATTTGAAGTAAGTTCTCCAAAATCTTCTCAATTAAAATGAATTTTTATTGGATGAGCACAAAGACATTCAAAATCAAGATGAACAATGCATCAAAGTTGATTCAACTCTATGGCATCAAGTAAGATTTAGTCAATGTAATGTTTATAATCTTCCACATGATCCGGGAAAGAGAAGAAAAATTGTTGATTTTCATCCGAATGATAGAGATATGATTAGAAGAGCATATATTTAAAGGCAACCTTGTCAATTTGAAAATCATTTTTTCCTCAAGTTGTATTTTCAGGTAACAACCATCGCTTTCTCCCTAAATGGTTTGAGAAACACAAATTTTGGCTTGAATATAATATTGAAAAGGATGCAACATTTTTGTGTTTTACTTATTTAAGGATGATCACTCAACTGGTGGAGATGTTTTTGTTGGTGTAGATTGTAGAACTTGGAATAGAAGTGAAGCACTTGTTAAACATATCGGTGGAATTAAGAGTGTTCACAATCAAGCATTGGGAAGATTGTATGATTTCAAGAATCAAAAGTCTTCAGATGTATCTGTTTTGTCTAAATATTTGAGCAATCACTAAGTGCTTATCGTTTGCGGTTAGAAGCTTCAATTGAATGCTTGAAATGATTTTTTCTTCAAGGATTGACTTTTCATGGTCATGATGAGAGTGAAAGATCATTGAATAAAGGTAATTTTTTAGAACTTTTGCATCTACTTTCAACACATAATTCCGATTACCAAAAAGTGGTTTTGAAAAATGCTTCTGGAAATTGTCAATTAATTAGTCCTTCAATTCAAAAGGATATAATAATGCTTGTGCAAAAGAGACAACTAAAGAAATTATTGAAGAACTTGATGGTGGTTTCTTTTTTATTCTTGCTGATGAGTCTGTAGACATTGCTGATAACGAGCAAATGGCTCTTTGCTTGCGATATGTTAGTAAAAGAGGAGAAGTACATGAGATATTTCTTGGTATTGTGCATGTCGGTAATACTACTTCTTTGACTCTAAAGGATGCAATGGAGTCACTGCTAATGAAACACTTTTTAAGTCTATCTAGTGTTCGAGGCCAAGGATATGATGTGCTAGTAACATGCGATGGTCAATTAATGGTTTGCAGACTTTAATTCTGAAAGAATCTTCAAGTGCTTATTATGTCTATTGTTTTGCTCATCAACTTCAATTAACTCTTATTTCTGTTGCTCAAAGAATGGAGATGTTAGTTGGTTACCTTTGTTGAATTTTGTGGGGGGTTCACCCAAAATAAAAGAATTTTTTCAAGAAAGACAAGCTGAAATTTCCGTGCAAGCATTGTCTTTGGGGGAAATAGAATCAGGAACAGGTTTAAATCAAGAGCTTGGATTAAGTAGACCTGAAGATACTCGTTGGGGATCATCTTTTAAAACAATTTTATGTGATTCATTTGTTTCCTTCTATTATTCAATTACTTGATGCCATTGGAGAAGTTTATGACATGAAAGACAAGAATAAAGCTAAGTCACTTACACACTTAATGTTGTCGCTTGATTTCGATTTCGTGGCGCACTTGATGTTGTCAATATTTGAAATTACAATGAACTAAGTTTGGCTTTGTAGAAAAAAAAGAACAAGACATTGTAAATGCGATGTCAATGGTTGATGTAACTAAGAAAAACCTTCAAAATTTGAGAAAGAATGGATGGAACGATTTCATGGGAAAAGTTACATTATTTATGGTTAAGCATGAGATGGAGATTCTTGATATGAAGAAAAAATATGTTGTTGTGAGGAGGAGGTGTTATGGTGGAAATAAGTCTCCACAAGTGATAAATCTCCATCATTTTTTAGTTGAAGTATTTTTCAGTGTAATCGATTTACAATTGCAATAACTTGAAAATCGATTAATGAGGTAAGTAAAGAATTACTGATGTATATGTCTTGCTTTCTTTCCTATAATCATTTTTCTACTTTTGATAAAAAGAGGTTGCGGCAGCTTGCAAAATTTTATCCTACAGAATTTTCAGAAGCATAGTTGATGGTTTTTTAATATTCATTGGGTAATTTCATTATTGATATTCGATGTGATGAGATATTTTGAGATTTGAAGGATCTAAATTAATTTTGTATGAAACTTGTTGAGACAAAGAAGAATAAAACATATTCAAGAGTCTACTTACTAATGAAATTAATGATCAATTATTGAATGACTATCATCAAGAACAAATTACGGAATAACATGAGAGATCAATTATTGAATGATTGTTTAGTTATTTTTTTTAGAAATAGATGTGTTTACGAAAGTTAGTATCAACGATATTGTCCGTCGATACCGGAATATGAGATCTCGTTTTGAACCGTTGTAGCTATTTTGATGTATTAGTGATTGTTAATTTGAAGTTCCACACTTTTTATGCAAATTTTTGTTGATGAACTTTATTCTTTTTAATTTAAATTAATTATATTAATTATCGACCAATCGAATTCAAAATTCTAGATCTGCCACTGGCCTCTGTCCCACATTTTTCATCCGTTGTTTTTATTTCTGTCTGTCTCACTTTATTTGTCAGGAAATATAATAATACATTTTAATTACATTTTAAATTTCATAATTCATAATTTATAATTTTTTAAAATTTTAATTATACTATTTAGTTATCTTAATCTTAATTTATAATTAGTT